ATATATATATATATATATAAATTCTACATGCAATGCTATAGAGCATTGCACACCAGAACAACTAGACACAAGGAGTTTTTTTCCAAATGCCATCACTCTGCTAAACAAATAATTCCCTCAACATTGTTCAACTATTACAAAGTCTGCACTACTATTACTATTAATCTTCTCATCACTCCTTATCACCCATCCCCGCCCACTTGTGACTGTATGACTGTAACTTTGTCCCTTGTATCCTTACGATTTATATTGACTGTTTCCTAGTATGATATGATTGCTTATTGTACCCTATGACTATTATTAAGTGACGTACCTGATGATTCTTGACTCTTGACAAATGCATCTTTTCTTTTATGTACACTAAGAGCATTTGCACCAAGACAAATTCCTTGTGTGTCCAACCACACTTGGCCAATAAAGAATTCTATCTATCTATTCTATCTATATAACCACAATTGAGCCCAAAATTTATGTTGCTAAGTGAGAAATTTCTTAAGTGACTTAAGTGACTTTTGCCCCATTTAACAACTTTTCTTGTCACGGCTGATAAGTGAATCACCGCAGCTGTTAAATTGGCCCAAACTGTTGTTAAGTGAATCTGATTTTCCCATTGACTTTGCAACCTTATCAGAAGGTTGCAAACAGAGATCACATGACCCCGGGACACTGCAACCGTCGTGAATATGAGTCAGTTTTCAAGCATGCAAATATAAATCACATCACTATGGGGATGCTTCAACTGTCATAAGTGTGAAGAATGGCCATGGGTCACTTTTTTCAGTGCCATCGTAACTATGAACGGTCACTAAACAAACTGTTGATTGTATGATGAAGACCATCCATACTTCTTCTGACATGCACTTAAAATATGCTTTTAAAGCAGCAATGAAAAAGCTGGCATGCAACAAAATATGTGTCTCAAGGGAGCAGCCCCTGCCTTTCCCTTTGCTGATCTGAATGCTGTATTAGCCCCATCCCTGGGGCACTTTGGTTTTGGATTACAAACTAATACCAATTTCACAAAATAAATTTTATATCTTCTTATCAACCTGCTGCATTTAATTGAAGATTTTATCATGCTAGCTTAAATTGGCTGCCCTGTGGGCCACAATCACAAATGTTTGCTCCAGTGGATATAACAAAGGGAGTACTAGATTCTAGATCAGGGATCTCTAAACTTGGCAACTTTAAGACTTGTGGACTTCAACTCCCAGAATTCTCCAGCCAGCATTCTGAAGACTTCTGGGAGTTGAATTCCACAAGTCTTAAAGTTGACAAGTTTGGGGGCCTCTGTTTTAGATCATCAGAATGCTCTTTATCATCTAGCCTAGCTTTGATTTCTTTCTGAATGTTGGACAGAGTTGTAAACGAAATAGCTGTGCACCCATTAATACCCATTTAATTCCAATTGGGAAGAATTTGTGAAGGTGTTCCAGATTCTGTCCACTGGTCTATCAACAATACACCTGCAAAAATGGAATGGAGTGCATTTACATTTAATTGTAAATGCACTAAATGCACTCTATTCCATTTTGGGCAAAGGAGAAAAACTGGCAAAATAAAAAAAGTTTAAAATGAGCTTGGAGAAAAAAAAGAATTCCCACAGTACACCCCCAGGAAACAGAAGTCTTTCAGTAGTGGTTTGATCCATTGCTGACTGTTCCATCCTAAGTCCCCCTTTCTCACTTCCCTCCTGGCTGCATTGGTGGTTTGGGGCCGAGAGGTGCCTGCTTTCCTCATCATGCTGTTTTCTAAGAATATCTGTGAAACATTCCTGCTGAAGGTCAAGAGAGACCCAGAAATTAGGATGCTGCTGAAAGTTATGACTCTTTTGTCTGGATCCAACCCACTTCTTGCAAGTTGTCTGAAACGTTGTTGTTTTAATGTTAGCAATTATATATAATGCTGTTTATTTCTTGGTAGTTTTTTTGCATTTTTCAATGTGAAATGTTAATAGTGCAGAAACAAACTATCTTAACTCTTAGGAAACCATGAGTAAGAATTTGACTTTTCATTTAATCACTGATTCTCATCCTTGCTGACTGCATACCATTTATTTTATGTATTTATTGGAATGTTTATTTTTGCTTAAATTAACAGACTATTTAATAAAATTATTAGGTAGCCTTGGGTACCACTGTTCCTTTTAAACGTAACTTTTTAAAGTTCTTCTCTTTAGAACCGCATGCATGAATCTTTGCATCTCTTCAACAGTATATGTAATCACAAGTTCTTTGCTGCCACTTCCATCATTCTTTTCTTGAACAAGAAGGACCTCTTTGAGGAAAAAATCAAGAAAGTACATCTCAGTATTTGCTTCCCTGACTATGATGGTGAGTTAAAACATTTCCCTCATTTTCATGAAAGCCAAAATAATTTGCTGAAAGAACTAAATAAGAAAAAGGCTTTCCTCTTACACCAGTGTACAGTTGGCTTGGGCTGTTTCGTTTCCATGTGGAATGGATTACTTATCAATATTCCCCAACAGCATGTCCAGCAATTTTGTGGCTTGAAGTTATAGTAATTCAATACATTTGGTGACAATCAGATTAAAGAACACCTGTTAAGAACATAATTTCATGCCCTAGTTGTTGGATATGAGATGGGTGGCAAATAAATTTCATAATAAGTAAACGATACTGTATACATTGATGAACAAAGCGCTAGGTTTGAAGTAATTTACTATTGAAATGGAAAAATATCAATTCAATAAGAAATTCGCATACATACAACTTAATTGATTTAAAAATTGTTTGTTCTATAAAATAGCACAATAAAGAAAGTATTACACTTAAGAAATTTAAGCTTTAAAAGTGACTGCAGTTACATTCTAAAGGCTTGTCAGGCTTACTTCAAAGAGAAACTACCGATTTCAACTTACATGTTTCATTGAGTTACTTTCTATGCTGTATAATATTCATACGAAAGAAACTGGGAATATGAGCATTTTATTGGGTTCTTTCTGTTCAAGAACTGCTTATAACAGTTCTGATAATAAGTACATTACACCAAAGTAACGTATCACTAGTATCACATAAAAATCATGTTCCAAGATGCAGATGGAAATACATACACCTGTACTGAAATATGTGTGCGATATTTCCATTAGCGCAAGCAATCTGTTAGTGGTTTTATCTGCCCCTTCAATATCTAATCAAGGGTTAGGAACAATGTAGGCAACAATATGGAGAGTAAGCAAATTGTTACATTTACATTGCCTTTCCTGCAGGAACTCAAGGCAGCATACCACATCTTTTTCACTTCCACCAGGAGAAAATGTTGTTAGATCTAAGGCTCTTTTTGTAAATGAGTAACTCGGGATCCAAACAATGTGATACGTTTTAGCACTTGTTTATGTTTTCCCATTTCCTTTTCCCAACAGGCCCCAATACATTTGAAGATGCAGGCAATTACATCAAGCTTCAGTTTCTTGATCTAAACATGAGAAAAGATGCAAAAGAAATTTATAGTCACATGACTTGTGCCACAGATACACAGAACGTCAAATTTGTATTTGATGCAGTAACAGATGTAATCATCAAAGAGAACCTAAAGGACTGTGGTCTCTTCTAAGATTACAGCTTTTTAAAAGAAAAGGTAATTGGGTTCAATTATCTGTTCCTAAAGTAGGAATTAGGCAGTAAGTATACTTTAGCATTTCCTTACTTGGGCTTGTAACTATACTTACTTCTGAACAGTAGTGCTTAAAGTCAAATGTGCATAATAACTAAATGCAAGCAGTAGCCAAGTCAGCTGGGCTACATATGTAATAGGAAGCAGCAGTTAAACTGCAACAGGATGCTTGCAATAATACTATGCAAGTACTCGGCTATTTCAGTTCCTTTGCCATAATAATTTGCAATAATTATTACATAAGAAGAGTTAGCACCATTGCCAAATTCTTCGCTTAGCAATTATTTCCAAAACGGGTTTGAAGACACTAATGCAACAGAAGACGAAATTTTAAGGAAATCATCGGCAATGAGGTGATTACAAAACAACCCGATGTAATACTATCAGCAAATCAAAGCTGGTACTCAGTACAGGACTCAGGAGTTTTTAAAAGTAAATAGCCTCTCTTGAATCAACTCCTAGTGGTCACATGGTCACAACCATGCGGTGGGGGGGAGGAAGCAGGATTGAAAATGATGTGGAAATTGTCTTCTTTCGTGATGTTTTTTCGCTTTTCAATATACCTGGGATTTCCTGGTAGTCACCCCAGCCAAGAAATAGCCATGTATAATTCTATTTAAGCTTTTTCAAGTGCTTACATGGTATTAAATGTGTAAGGATGCAATTATTTCCAAAACGTCTGCAGAATCTGTAGATGTTGCCAGACTTCACGTGACATGACCACTGTTAGGGTTGAAGCTGAAAAATGTTTGAAGGTATGCACGCATGTATGTATATACAGTACATCAAACCTATCTCTACATCTTTGACATTCTCTTGGCAAAATCAAGTTCAAATGTAATTTGATTTCATTAAAATCAAAATATTATCTCATCTTCATCTATCAGGAACCTGGGCTTCCAGTGAGCTTCACCATTCTGCTGAGCAGAACCAACAGAGCCAACAGTCATTCAGGAATCTATACTTCTCCACAGAAGATAAACAATTCTTCCAAGGACATGCCATCAAAAAGGCTAAAGGATCAAAAAGTTAAAGTGTCTCCAATTTCTGAATAATTTTCTTTGATAAGTTTCCTTTCTAAAGTACTCTAAAATGTGTGAAAGTGGAAATTGTAACATGGGCAACAGTGAAGACAAACTGGTTTACAAACAATGAATTTATGTCAAACACTGATTCTCTGCATTTATAAACTATTTATAAATACTTTCTTTCACAGGAAAAACACAATTCTTTCACAGGAAAAATACAATCAGTGCTTTGGGGTCTTATTTAACGGAACTGTTCATTTTAAAACCAATGGTCTGATTGTCCAAGTCCAAAAACTGTATATTGTATATAGAAATGAGGTATTTTCCAAATCTAAACCTATTAAAAATAGATTAAACACACAATTTGCAGTTGTCTGAAACTGGTGCAATTAGAACCCAGTGTCTTAAAAAAAGTTTTCTAGTATTGAATTCAGTGAATCTAGAATTGGTCTGTTCTCCAATACTCATAGACTACAGCAGTGCTTTAATACCTGCTGCGGAGACAGCTTGTCTACCTGTCTTATTAATCCTGGGGTAATGAACATACACAGCTTCAACCCACTGACATCACAGGAGCAGAGAACTTTTCCACACCCACATAGGGACCAGAGGGATACAAAAATAGAACAGTTGTATCAGGAGTTTCATGCTATTTAGAGCTGTATTGTTTCTCAGCATTTGTAAACAAGTTGTATTGTTAGACAAGATACTCCTTGCATGCAGCTTTGAATAAATATGTAAGAGATAAAAATAAATTTGCATTAAAAAGTACGGGTGCATGATTGAAAAATAATTTCTTCCATTCCTCTTCATATTCCTTTTCTCCATAGACATTCCTCTTCACATTTTCTTTTCAAAAATATTTGCTGTGATTCATATGCTGTTTACAGGAACTGAAGTGGTAGCTCAATACATTATTCATTTATACAATATATTTCCCTAATTTTAATACATGTTCATGCTTGTATGAAATCGGTCTTAAACTGACTAAGTAACTTGTAATATGATCCCATTTTATTAAAAAATGTACACGGTCACCTTAGATGGTTGATTTATTAGATTCATACATTTATGAAGTTTTCCCACTGTACACTCAGAATCCTAGTAAGGTATTTATTTATAGCATCTTATTTATGAATAGAACATTATCATGTCTTTTGCTAAAATAATTTTAATAATAGTGAAGAGACCCGGTTTGGTGTAGGAGTTAAGGCATCAGATTGGGAAACAGAGAGAGTCACTCACTCTCAGCCCAACCCACCTCACAGGGTTGTTATTGTGGGGAAAATTAGGAGGAGAAAGGATATTAGATATATTTATTGCCTTGAGTTATTTACCAAAATGATAAAGCAGGATATAAATAAATAGTCACAACGTATTGTTTAAAAATAGCCATTGTAATACCTTGTTTATGTGACAAATGGTAAAAACTGACAATTGACTTGCCACCATTCTCAGATGTTATTATTACTGTTTGTAAAGATTATTAGTACCAATAAAATGGTATTAAATTTGTTCTGTCCTGTCAGCAATATCAATTTTACCAGTAGCTGGATTTGCCCCATTGTTTTACAATACCTTAACTCTCTTTTTTGGGAACACACAGACTGCAGTCGAAGGAAGGAAGGAAGGAAGAAAGGGAGGGAGGGAGGAAGGGAGAAAGAAAGAAATAAAAAAAAGAGAAAGAAAAGAAAAGAAAGAAAGAAAGAAAGAAAGGAAGGAAGGAAGGAAGGAAGGAAGGAAGGAAGGAAGGAAGGAAGGAAGGAAGGAAGGAAGGAAGGAAGAAAGAAAGAAAGAAAGAAAGAAAGAAAGAAAGAAAGAAAGAAAGAAAGAAAGAAAGAAAGAAAGAAAGAAAGAAAGA